AAATTACTTCGTAAGAAGTGAAGCCTTAGTCCGAAAAATTCAAAAGAACTTGATTTCAATCCACATTAATGATAATGACTAAGAATTTTAAACCAAGTTAAAGTTAAAAATAATGGTTAAGACGACAACAAAGTTATAAAATATTAATGACGATAAAGCAAATGTAATCAACGCATTTTGAAACTTTATAAACTCACACAAATTGATTAAATTACTTCATGGTCAACGATATGTACTTAAATTAAATTATCTTGGATTTGAAAATTGGGTCAACTCAACGTGCTTAGTGCAATGTGAAGCGACTTCAAGAATTTGCAATTTCAAGAATATCATATAGCTGTCCATTACGTATATTATTCAAAGAACTGGAAAAATCCGATCAAATAAGTGACGAAATTTGGTATTTAAGTAGGAATAAAAGAATGATATCTGCAAAAAATCCTTAAAGTTTCCCAATTCCTTCCTTTATCAAGTCGGGATTTTTTTTATATTTTTTGATAAACAAAGTGCTTATGCTAGAAAAATATACTTCAAAGCAAAATCGGCGCATTATTTCAAACAGACATAACGGAAAATTCTTGAATTTAATTAAATATGCAAATTTTTATAGAAAAATAAAAAATTAACCCCGCCATCACCTCCATCAATTACAGCACCAGTAACAATAATAATAGCAAAGATTGTGGAAGCAAGCATACATGAGCAGATGCCAACCTAAGTAATTACGCCATGCAGCAGATTTTTCACGCTATAACAGTTACATGATAATGCACACCACGCACGTCAAATAAAAATTAGTTGTATGCATTTGTAAATGGCAGATTAATACGTATAAACAAATAAAGCAGAAGAAGCATTAGGCTCATTATAATCAGGGACAGAACCACGAAGGAAAGAGAGCCAAGGGCTTACCAATGATCCATAGACCGTAGTGGTAAGGATTGCAACAAGAAACGGTAGCATTATTCATGGTGACGCGACCAAATCTACACCACGGCAGCGGATCCAACCTGTGCAATGCTGCATCTACCTATAAAGTTACTGTTAATTGCTTAACATTACGTAATATTACGTACGTAATAAATTATTAAAAGGTCAAAAAAATATGTCAATATGTTCGCTAGCAAAAAAACATTTGCAACTTGCAAAATGTATAATTCAGTGTTCAATATCAAACGAATCGGCCTTTTTTTGCAGATAGTTAAATAATTCATTCAATGCTTAAGATAAAATTTGAAACTGAAACAAAAAGAAGTTTGTTTAATTTCGAGTTTTGAATTTTAAATTTACATGATTATTTTGCACACAAATTTAATCATGCATAAAAAATGGTCATTAACATTAGGGTTTATAGTTTCACCTGTAATTCTTTCCATCGCCATAATTTACAACAAAGATAAGGTATAGACATAGGCTTATCAATTTGCGGTATCAGACCGGTATTTTCGTAACGATGATCCAGGAAGCCTTCATCGTTATCTGTTTCAGCAACATCTCGTGAGCAACTCGGCATCTCTTCCATGATATCCATTGGTGGTCCGGGAGCACACTGTTTGATATCTCGGCCACCACTTTCCACTGCCTTTACGGATAAGATGATGGAAATTCGATCAATAAACAAACAAATGTAAAATTATTAAAGCTAAGAACAAAGTTTCGTGTGTAAAGACAAATACTTAATTACTTGATTTTAATTAATAGATGCATCAAACTAAAAAGTGTTTTTGTGCAAAGACAAATACTTAATTACTTGATTTTTTAATTAATAGGTACATCAAACTAAAAACTAAAAAGCCAATATTATTCAATAATCAGAAAATGAGATTTAAAACTTGCACTTACTAAATACAAAGATTTTAATTCAAAATTGAAAGAAAAAACAGAAAAGAAGAAAGTACGTTTTGCCGTTCTTTCAGGAAGTTTTTTTAGTATTTCACGATGAGAATACCAAGCAAATATTAAAATTCAAAAAGAGCGTTGGAAAATACGAAAAAAAAGAAATTCTCTTAATTAACCATGAAAACCTTTAATATAGCGGCGAGGTCTTCTGTATCAAAAGCGCGCAATAAACGATTGAAACGTCTCCTTGAGCGTTTCTCGTCAGATGACTGAATGGTGCGTAACCTCCAAAGCCTAAAAAGATTTCATCTACAACATCGAATTAAACTTTCGGTTTAACCAAATAATTTATTTCATCCCATTTTATGAAGCGGTTAGACATGAAAGACGACAAACTGTGCATCACCTTTGCAGATACAGTTGCCAATGAAGTATATGAGTTGGTTTCAAGAAAACTATTATGAGACAGCTTCTCGCGAGATAACTGAATTTACCTTATCATACAACAAAGGAAACAGGTATTGGAGACGGATTGAAGTCATTTCAACCAATGGAAAGATAGAGGAGTAGTATTCCGAACAACAAAATTCGGGTAGTCGGGAGACAACTAATAAACAGATGGACTAACCCTTCTTAAGCTATTTAGAACTATCCTGCACCACCCGATCGTTCACCAATATTGATTGAATAGTACAGGTACCGAAAAAAAAATATTTTAGGTGCAAAGTGCAATTAAAATAACCTTTCAATGTGTCGCCTTCGTTCGGATAGGAAGCACCAAATTTTGCAATCCAACGGCATACCGTTGCATTTGCGCGCTCCACTACCTCATCCCGACACAAACTTTGTGTCGGACGCTTTTTTTCTAGAAAGATATCCAATTAATTAATTAGTAATTATTGAATAATAAGAAGTTTGCACTATGGAAATTAATTGCAATTAAAGCGAAGAAAAAAATATCGGTATGAAGTATATTTGCATGAAATTCATCCAATCAATGCAGTTTAATTTATGAAACTTCTAAACTTTTTCGACTAATCAACTAATTACTAGCCATATTAGCATTTTAAATCTTGAATTATGAACTATTTTAAACTGACAACAGCAAAATTTTTAAATTCCAACAAATAAATGATATTTCTTTTCGGCGACATAGTAAGAGTAGTAAGATCAACTAATTAACAGTCGACACATCAACTCATCAAATTGTCATATTAAAAACACAAAATCTTACTACCTTTAAATTTACCAATTAATACTTGTAGTTATTTGCTAACAAAGAAAGAAGTTATTTATACCTGTAATCAAATTACAAACTGAAAGAAACAATTCGTGAAAGCAAAGCACAAAATAAAATCATTGTGAAGCAACGACAGCTTTAATTTCATTGAAATTTAGAAAATATTGGTGAAAAAAGAATACGAAGAAAGGAAGACGGAAAAGGAGGAAAACGAATAGTTTAGGATTGAAATGAATGTGTGAGTTATATATTTTTTTTCCGCCGTATACTTTTTTAAGGAGTAATTTGAACTCTTTCTCCTCTTTTATTATTTACCAAATTATTTAACAGCAAAAAGTACATATTTCCCCTTTAGGGTTTCATTCAACCCAAAATTCAATTATTTAAGATTTCCTTCTCACTATCCCCTCTCAACAGAGGAAGAAGAAGCAAAATTTCAAAAAGATTTCAAAACCTCGTTTTTAGTGGGAATTTCATACGACAGACGGTTCCTTTCTAAAATTCTAATACACCAATAGTGCTCAGCCTACCGCATATTTTTTTATTCTATGAAAGTTCCAATTATTACAAACTACCCGCCAAACAAATAATTCTTGAAGGTTATTTGTGGTAAATGTTGTCTAAAAAATTAAATATAAATCAAAATAGCAATTCCTAAGAATAAGTCAAATTACGGATTCATTATTCAGAATTTAAAAATTTCAATTTCTCAACAAGTCCAAAAATTAAATTTAAAATTTTTCTGAAAAATCGATGATACTTGCTATATTTCCGAAAGAAAGAATTTACAACTTTCTGACAAACTGTCAACTCAATAAATGATTGAAATTTCTCCATTAATAATTTATTTCACTTGCTTAACAAATTATAATAATTTATCTCTCATACTACTTTTACACTATTTTTCAGTATCACTAAAGCTATTTGAATTATTCCACTTTTTAATTAATTTAAAATTAATAAATCAAAATTTGATATCAAAATTCAAAAGCGGTAATTCCAGAGAAAGAATGTAAGTTTAAAAATTTAAAAACGAGAATTCTTCCGTTTTCAATGTCAATGGATGAAGTAACTTCCCTAACACAGCCATAACAACACCAATGTTGTATTGGATGAATGTGGTGGCAATTGGGATAATCTTCAACTTCCTTTCCATCATTCGACATCCTTCTCACTCATGCCTTATCCGTTTCCCTCCCTGTCCTCTGAACCAAAATCGATTTGAAAAATAGGAAAAAGCTTTGTAAGCTATAAATCAAATTTTGTTTGTTTCCCTCAACAAACCATTTGTTCCCCTCATTTGTTTCTTTTTCTAATTTTTTTTGTTCTATGAAAAATTTTGATACTAATTGATACTAATTAAAAGCGACAACTTGACAGATTATGTCAGATTTATCGGATATTTTAATCGTAGAATATTGTGTACTTAAAAAAAAAGATGGTCATCCACTATAATTCAAATTTGATTCCAGTACTTTAACCGTTTCTGCTTTCTTTTTTTCCTAACTAACAGTAAAGTCCACTCGTCTCATTCCTCTTGTTACTTTAAGATGAATTCCAAATAATCTCCGAAAGCAAAATTAAGCGTAATTTAGAAGCAATAAAATCAAAATTTTAAGATCAATTGCAAACCTAATAGCAGCAATTAAAAATTTTTTCAACTGAATACTAACAACACCAATTGTTCAATCTTGCTTTTGCATATATTTGTTACCATCAATCTTTCTCACAATTCTTGAAATACTCTGCTATTTTCGAAGGTCAAGATCAAGGAAGGGATCAATCACTTCTTCAAAATAGATTTGGCTTCATTCCATTATCCGACCACGGAATGGTAGTGTTAACATGTGTAAAACCAACTGAATTTTATAAAATTAAAAAAGAAGCTAACACACAACACGAAAAATAATTTTCATACAATTCAGAAAAATAATATAAAAAAGAAAATATCAAAGCAAACCTGCGAGAATCAGCTATCTCCCGAGAAATATCGAATCTTCGTTGATTTGGTTGGTGAAAAGCGGAAATTACAGGTAGTGGATGGGAGGAAAATGAATTGGCGTGACAGAAAGAAAGCAGTATGGAAATCAATGGAAATTTTTAATTTTAATTTAATTGAAATTTGTCGTCGGATAAATGATTGGTGTTGTTTGCGATAAAGTTTAACTGTCGTTGTTTACCTTTGCATCTTCGAAAGTATTCTTTTGATTAGTAAAACTGCAAAAAAAATTTTCTAATAAAAATTGCAAGCAAATAATTGTAGAAACGAAAATAATAAAGGAATGAATTGACTGTATTTTTTGACTATATTGGCCAATATACAATATTTTCAACAAATACAATATTTTCAACGCATAAATTTCATAAAACCTTTAAATACATTTTGAATATAAGAGGTTAATTGCAGCGCCTTCAACAAAGCAATCAAATAGCTGTTTTCAAAAAACTCATTCTACTAATGATATAAATTTCTGGATCCAAGCACACTCAGATTCATCGAAATTAGCTTAGGACATGTTGGCTACGCCGAACCACGGCATGATAATATACCTGTGGACTTCACTCTATGATAAAATATATGCTAACATTTGGAATTTCGAATTCATGGTCAAATTAGCATCATAGAAAGCGATGAAAATAAATTATATATTCCGGAATCCATACCCATAGCAATGTCTAGAAAATTCGGGCAAGTTTAATTGCTAATTAAGAAAAAAGGAAATAGGAAAATGTGTGCAAGTAATTGAGTCAGCGAATATATCGATAGTAAAGTATAATTCATGTAACTTTTCAACTAAAATTGAAGTTTTGAAAGTAAAAAAGATTTATTAAAATTCAAGCAAAAAAGATGAGGAGTGAGAAACTGATACGATAAAAAATGTAGCATTGAATCTTTTTTTCAGTTTTTTTTGAATTATTAAAATTAAATACTAAATGCTGGAAGAGATTGTTAACTTTATTTCTGAACAGAAGAAATGAATGAGAGTTCAAATCTGGTTTGATCGTGAAAAGGGATCGCGTTGTTTAATTTTATGTCTGGTTGCATTATGGTTTAAAAAACTAAAGAATTATATAATTTCGTCATTATATAATTTGAAGCTTTGTTGCTTATGCCTTTTTCCTTTTTGGGAAAAATTGGAGGAAAAATGACGAATGAGAAATCGGAAATTTCAGTTAATTTGAAAATGTTTTCAAAAATTTTAGAGGCCTTTTTATTCCTCCATCTCACGTTTTGTCTTGCTTCACTACTTTTCTCAGTTGATTTAAAATGCTTTCAGAAATCTTCGACTTGTCTTCACTCAATTTTGCTGTCTTTTCATTTTTCGCCTTGTTTGACTAATCCTTCCGGAAGTTATTTCGATGGATTTCAAAATGTTTTCAGAAACATTGGACCAGTCTTTATATATTAATGTTGTCTTTCAATCCTATGCCTTCTGTTTGTCCCAAAGTTAAATGACTGCAAGTAGCAACAACAGGACAACAAGCGACCAGACTTTATAAATGTTTCTCAACTATTCAAAAATAGGAAGCAGCAAGCAGTAGTTGTTTTCCAAAGAATAATACTGCTATTATTACCACAGCAACAACTACTAACTACTATTACGACAACAACAGCAACAACAACTACAACAACTACTGCTACTAATAATAATAGTTCTGGAAGAGACGAGCGCTATTTTTGCAAAATCCTGAAGGGCTCGAAGATTCTAGTGGACGGAGAGAAGGAAGCACAGAGAGTTACTTACTTTACAACGTTATAAGCAAATGTTCGTTTATTCTCGCAGTATATTTGTGTCGCATCGATACGAAGGATCAAGAGAGGATGTTTGTCTTCTTACTTCCCTGCAGCCCTGTTCATGTCTGTTTTTCGGTCCGCACCTTTCAAATTCTTGTAAAAAGGAAAAATTATGTGAAATAAATTTAGAATGTATCCTATCTAATTTGACGTGTTTATCAATCTTATTTATAATTTTGCTAAAATAGCTTCATCAAAAAAAATATAATGAGAATATATTTCGGTGGAATTAGGAAGCCTTTTTTGGCTCCTTAATTTTATTGAAATATACTCCCATCCCTTGCATCCTTGCCTTTTATTCTCCCTTTTCTTGCGTCATTTCACATAAATATTTTGACTTCAACGGGAAAGATGAAAGAAGAAAGAATGGGTGCTGTGGAGGAAGGATTAATACGTATTCGGGAAATTGAGGGAATAACTTCCTATATCATACTTCAAAACCTTTGATGCCTCCGATGTTTCAATGATGTCTATTTATTCCAAAATTTAATTTAAAAAGTTTGTCGATTTGAAAAAGTTCAAAAAAGAGAAGAGGAGGAAAGAGAAAAGAGGAGAGAGGAAAGAAAGTTATGTTTGAAAGGTTAATAGAAAGTAGGTTAAATTGGTCGCTAATTGTTGGCTGGATAGTTGGTTGGCTGCATGTCAAACTTAATGCCTTGAAAGCTATCATCACACTTAACTGAATGTCGGAGAGAAGAAGGCGAAAGTTGGCGACAGTGATCTCGAAGACAAAGAATGGATTAAAAAAGAGAAAGTGATAAAATA